TTTCTGACATTGTAACCTTGACATGTTGCTTTTTTTTATCTACAAAATAGAGGAAGAGGAGCTCCAACGCGTTCCTGGTCAATTTGATTCGGTAGAAGAGTATATCAGCGTATTTGAGCCTTTGCTTTTTGAAGAATGCCGAGCACAGCTTTATAGTTCGTGGGAGGAATCATCAGAAACAGTTTCCAGTCATGTTAGGGTATCCATAAAAAGCATTGAACGGCGTGAAAGGGGTATGATTCTATCATGTCAACTCTCTTTAATACTAGAACTTGATCAGTTTTTTTTATTTCAGTATCTCAATAAAATGAAAAAGTTCTGCACGCCCAGTCTGCTGTGTTTGCTCCTGATTTTTGAAAATTGTGATACTAGGTTATGAATTTTCAGTTCCACTTACCTTGAGTTTGTTACTTACCGCAAATCTATTGTCCATTTTGACGTTACTTAGTGCTGGGACAAGTTTGCGTTTGCCCAATCTCAGTTTTATAGTTCATATTTTATTGTGGGCCATGCATGTTGTTGTTCTTCCTGTTCAGTTTTTGTTTTTTTATTCAGCTGTGATAAAATGGTCATTTACTGGAATCATCAGAAACCGTTTCCTGTCATGTGGTGATTCTTTTTAGGATATAGTTTCTTCTTATCTTGAATTTTCATTTCCTGTTCGGTTTTTCTTAATTTCCTGCTGTGTATAGAAAACTCTAACCAAATGTGATTATTCCCCTGTAGTACTTAATGTCATTTGGCTTTTCTGCTGTTTGTTTTGCCAGGATGGTTTGATGTGATACTAATTCCGCCACATGAATACAAATGGACCTTTAAGGAAGGAGAGGTTGCGGTTCTTTCATCCCCTAAGCCTGGTGCAGGTTTGTTCTTGAATAAATTTTCTTCTTTCTGGTTTCAGAATAAACTGTAAATCTTACTGAGATTTGTAACTGGGAAGCCATATGCTTACACACTTTGTATGATAAAATGCAGTCAATATTAGGAGGAATAATGCCGGGGCTAGGGATGATGAGGAGAAGGCAGAAGTTAATGGTCGTGTTGCTGGAACAGTGAGGAGACATATACCTATTGATACCCGAGAAAAACATATTGGGGCAATTCTTCACTTCTATGTTGGGGATTTATATGATTCGAGCAGGTCAGTTTTAACACCTTTTTGTCATACAACTCTTTTCAGTTTAGAGTACTTTATTTTTTAGTGCTGGGACCATTACCACTTTTTGCCTCGTATTTATTATTGTTTTTATTTCTCTAGCAAGATTAACGAGGATCATATTCTGCGGAAGCTCCATCCAGGGGATGTGTGGTACCTGACTCAGCTTGGTACTTTGGCAACCACACAGCGCGAATATGTTGCTCTGCATGCATTCCGTCGTCTTAATTTGCAGGTTCTATTTGAATTATAGTTGCCAGCTAAGAACATAAATCGGTGTGATGCTTTTGTGCTTGACATTTATGATACCCTCTTGCAGATGCAAAATGCGATTCTTCAGCCTAGTCCCGATCAGTTCCCAAAATATGAAGAACAGCCACCTGCAATGCCCGATTGCTTCACTCCGAACTTTGTTGAATATCTGCATAGGACTTTTAACGGACCCCAGCTAGCAGCCATTCAATGGGCAGCAACGCATACAGCTGCTGGTACATCGAATGGTGCGTCAAAAAAGCAAGATCCGTGGCCTTTTACTTTAGTTCAGGGCCCCCCTGGCACTGGTAAAACACATACAGTATCGGGAATGCTTAATGTGATCCATCTTGTCCAGTATCAGCACTATTACACTGCATTGCTAAAGAAAGTTGCACCCGAAAGCTATAAGCAGGTTAATGAGAGCAGCTCAGATAATGTGGCTGTTGGATCCATTGATGAAGTTCTCCAGAGCATGGATCACAATCTCTTCCGAACGCTTCCAAAACTGTGCCCAAAGCCAAGGATGCTTGTCTGTGCTCCCTCAAACGCTGCAACTGATGAACTGCTTTCACGTGTCTTAGATCGTGGATTTGTTGACGGTGAGATGAAAGTTTATCGGCCTGATGTCGCTCGGGTTGGAGTGGATTCTCAGACTCGGGCTGCTCAGGCAGTTTCTGTGGAAAGAAGAACCGAACTACTTCTGATGAAGAGCCGTGATGAAGTTTATGGATGGATGCACAATTTGAGGATCCGAGAAAATCAGTTATCTCATGAAATTGCTCACTACCAGAGAGAGCTCACTGTCACTGCTGCCAGTGTTCGTGCACAAGGATCTGTTGGTGTTGATCCAGATGTTCTTATGGCCAGAGACCAAACACGGGACGGTTTACTTCAAAAACTTGCAGCTGCAGTTGAGAACAAAGACAAAACATTAGTGGAGATGTCTCGACTTATCATTTTGGAAGGCAAATTTCGTGGTGGTGGCAATTTCAATTTGGAGGAAGCCCGTGCAGATCTTGAGGCTAGTTTTGCCAATGAAGCTGAAATAGTTTTCACTACAGTCTCGAGCAGTGGGCGGAAATTGTTTTCTCGTCTAACGCATGGCTTTGACATGGTTGTGATTGATGAAGCGGCACAGGCTAGTGAAGTAGCAGTTCTGCCGCCACTTTCTCTCGGTGCTGCTCGATGTGTTCTTGTGGGAGATCCTCAGCAACTTCCTGCTACTGTCATCAGTAAGGCAGCTGGAACATTGTTGTACAGTCGAAGCCTTTTCGAGAGGTTCCAACAAGCTGGCTGCCCAACTATGCTTTTATCCGTGCAGTATAGAATGCATCCCCATATTAGGGATTTTCCTTCGAGGTACTTTTACCAAGGACGCCTTACTGATAGTGAGAGTGTTTCTAATCTTCCCGATGAGATTTATTATAAAGATCCTTTACTGAGGCCGTACGTCTTTTTCGATGTTACTTACGGTCGAGAATCTCATCGTGGAGGGTCTGTTTCTTATCAGAATACACAGGAAGCACAGTTTTGTGTTCGTTTGTATGAGCATCTTCAGAAAACATTGAAATCATTAGGGGTTGGGAAAGTGTCTGTTGGCATCATTACTCCGTATAAGCTGCAATTGAAATGTCTCCAACGGGAGTTCAAGGATATATTGAATTCTGATGAAGGAAAAGACATTTATATTAATACAGTGGATGCTTTCCAAGGCCAAGAACGTGATGTCATTATTATGTCATGTGTTCGTGCATCCAGTCATGGGGTTGGGTTTGTTTCAGACATTCGCCGAATGAATGTTGCTCTTACGCGAGCAAAAAGAGCACTCTGGGTGAGATTTTTCGTCCTCCTTTATGTCTTTCACCGCCTAAGTGTTGTTTTCCTCCTTTTTTATATCTCGAGAATTTTTTTATATCATTTTGTTTCTCATTTCTGACAGGTTATGGGAAATGCGAACGCTCTGATGCAATCTGAGGATTGGGCTGCATTGATTAATGATGCCAAAGCACGGAACTGTTACTTAGACATGGATTCTCTGCCGAAAGACTTTATACCTGAATCTTCGACATACGGCACATTTTCTTCGAAGAATTCTAGTGCGAGGGGCTTGAGATCTGGACCAAGATATAATAGGTCACACGATTCACACTTTGAGTCCAGGTCCAGGTCTGGAACACCGTCAGAAGACGATGAGAAGTCAAATTTATCTACACTTCCTAGGAATGGAAGTTATCGGATCTTAAGACAAGGAGCAGAAACTTCATTGAATGGTTTTGATCAACCTAGTGATAAATCTCGAGATACCTGGCAAAATGGCATTCCGAAGAAGCAAAATGGTGCTTTTGTAAAGCGGGACCTGTAGCAGCAGCTTGTATGATGATGAATTTAACTATCCCTTTTGTTTACTGTGGCGGAATATGGTATTGGTCTTAAAGGTAATTGAAGCACCATACCAATGCTTGACCTAGTGATTGATTGTTGAATATGAGGAGGGGCGTTCTTGTCAACCCGGGAGGGTGAAAGTACAGTACGGAGAAGGAAGAAAATTGAGTGAATTGGCCCAAACCCGTGCACCAACTGTTGCACTTTGAAGATGTAGAAATTTCGATGCCCAACTTCCACACATCACACACGCACTTGGATTTCGATACGATGAATTCTGGACTTACAATCTGCTGATGACCCCAAAGTTTTTGCCTCGTCCGGGTAAGATTCTCTTGTACGAATGTACTAAATTTAGACTCGACTGGGCGAGGATTTTCGTAAGTTCAGAAAATTATTTGATTAGACTGGGATCGATGGCAAATTTCTGAGGTGGATTACAGCATGAAGAGAATTTGATTTCCGTTTCCAATTAATGGAAGATTGGAATATGTTTTATGATCATGGGACTTCGGATCTGTCGGGGCAGTATAACTGCAGTAATGGACATTGCTTGTTGGATATTATGATGAAATTTGGAGTTCGCTCGCTCGTGTTAGAAAAGTTCGTTAAGCTGGTGAAATGATAAATCAGGTTGAAGATTGTGAAGTAGATGAGATGATGCACAGTAGACAAAGGTGTAGAATGTAGTAATACACAAAAAGGAATATTTTTACAGATAAAAATATATTTTATTTACATGCCTCTTCATTGCTCTTCAGTATTGATCTAAAGTTTTACATTTTACAAGTTCAATTTTAAGTAAAGATAATTTTACCATTGGGATTTACTTGTAAAAATAGTTATTAAAATATACAACTCTGAAATTATTGCAAAACAAGTAAACAAGAAATGAAGGAGATGTTTGGCCGCCTCGGAGGCCGAGCGTGCGAGTACTTTTTACGACATTCTGGAAAAATACGAAGTTCATGTTTGGTCACAAAAAAACACATTTGGTCAGCTGATGCCAATTTATCGTTAGTACCTAATGGAATCAAGCATCTGCGCTCGTTTTCAAAATACAATTTTACTAGGCATACGTGTATCAAATTCTCATTCGACTAAAAAAGGAACAAAATAATTACTCATCAATATCAAGTAAAAATAACATTTACACACATGTAATCACTAGGAAATAACATTAGTAGGTAACCATGAAACACATACACCCTTTATTTACAATGGTCTCTACTCTCAAGCTAAAATGCAAAGGCAAACAAGCTATAAAATGTCCTTCGCCACTTACTAATTAAGTTTGGAAATACAAACAAGTAAGATTTCCGAGGCTCGGCGTTCGTTGTTTCAGTCTCCAAAACTGCATCTTCGATAGTCGTTTCTTGATTTCTCTTCATTTTATCTGCTTCGTTCATTCTGACGTATTGTCGGCGAAATTCTTCATCTTCGTTCCACAATTTCATAAACTTTTCCACCTATACATGCAATTCAAAAACGTTAGTTAAGTTATAGATGTTGTTCAACTTAAACATAAAAAAAAAAACCAAACATATAGAACTTACAGATTCCTTGCAGAAGTCGGAAAGCTCCTCGGGATCCCCGGTTATAAACTTTGTATCCTCTATGCAGTCGCTAAGGAGTGATATCTGCAATTTCAGTCGTTCAATTAAGCTATTCACATTGCCATAAAATAAATAATGATAAATTAAGGTATATGAATTACTGTAGAACCTCGATAAATTAATAACCTCGCTTAAATAATAATTTCTTCCAGTCCCGACTCAGTAAAAAACGTACTAAATTATTAGTTCAAAAATTTAATATTTCACTGAACTAATAGAATTTTGTTAGGTGTGATTGTATTAATTTATAGAGGTTTAACTGTATTAGCAAGAAAAACACCCAATGATGTCGATTACTGTATAGTTAAACCTCTTTAAATTAATACAGTCGGGCCTACCAAAATTCTATTAATTTAGCGAAATATAAATTATCAAACTAATAATTGAACATGTTTTTACCGAGTTGGGACCGAAAGAATGTAATATTTAAGTGATGTTATTAATTATCGAGGTTCTACTGTATATTGTTGATCACATAATCTTTAAACACGCGAGCTTTTCTAATAATAAAATAAGTTAAGAAAAATTACCCTCCGACGATGCTTTATTCTCACACTCTCCAACTTAGCTCGTGCCACTCGGCAAACATCTTCAGCAGCTCTCGACAGAGCTTTCAATTGTTCTATTTGTTTCCTCTCACCCTCGTATTTCTTCTCCGATTCCAAAATAGCCGCTCGAGCTATTACGGCACTTTCTTCGAGAATATCGAGCTCCTTCGTTAGAATCTGCACACAACAAAACTCAACCATATATAATTACGGCTTTCCAAGAGAGCAAAATCGAACAAGTTATCGAAAAATAGTACGTATAACGTGTATGTATATATATATATATATATATATATATATATATATATATATATATATATATATATATATATATATATATATATATATATATATTTGCTATCAGCGCAATAACATAATCGACCAACGCTATTTTCTAATCTTACGCGACGTTGGTTCAGCCGATTCATTCCACGCACGCGCTTTCGTAATTCCTCCAACGGCAGAGACTCGTGTTCTACTATATATCTTTCCACGTTACATACACGAGCATTGATACGATCGATGGATAATACTTTCTCGGCTTTGTTAATCACGGACCGAACAGATTTTATTTCGGCGAGCTTTGACTTCACCGTATTTCTTGCACTTATTTCCTTGCCCTTGACATATTCGTAATATAGATCGTGAATCTTACTGCCGGCCTGCGAATCACAAATCGGGTTTTTTTTTTAGAATAAATTAATGGAAAAAAGACGAGTAACATAACATGCAGACGACAACGACGACGACTTACTATTTTATCTTCGAGTTGTAACCGAATAGCATCTCTGGCTTTTGTCTTTTCGTCGAGTTCTAGCTTCACGGGTCCGATCGATTCTTCGAGGATTTTAATATCAACGCGTGGGATCCTAATCAAATAGTTGAACACCTTTGTGGCACTAGAATTCTCTGATGGTGTCATAATATACGTCTTTGATTTTGCTGCGACTCAGTAGTAAACGTATTAAATTATTAGTTCAATAATTTAATATTTCGCTAAAATAATTATAAAAAAAAAAAAAGAAGCGGAAGAAGGTACCTTTGATCAACGGGACGAACGTGAATCGAATGAGAAATCGGAGGAGAAATTGAGGATTGCAGAAAGCAGAGATTGGATGAAATAATTAAGACGAGAAGGAGAAGAAAGAAAGTTGGAAAATAGATTATAAATTACCAAATAAATATATAACCCTTTGACGTTTGAAGTATAGTTGGACTTGGACTCTACGGTTTTATCTATCCTACACCCGGTGAAGGTTACACCGGGTGATTTTTTACCGTTGATCTACACACACCAATGTGGGTGTGTGTGTGTTTGTGTGTATATTAATGGTAAAGATCTACCCGGTGTATTTCACCCGGTGTAGGATCTCAAAAGCCTGGATTCTACTATCATATAATCACAATTACACGTCTACACCATATACTATATATATATATATATATATATATATATATATATATATATATATATATATATATATATATAACTTAATTCCAATCGAATTAGCTATATAAATTCCTTTTATTTAAAACAGAAATACGAAGATAGGAATCGTAAGTCTTTTGTTACGGTATAATATATTTTTTTAATTTTGGTACAACAAAACTTAGTTATTGTGTTAAGAATAAAATTGTATGTTGTCTTGTTAGTCACCCATATAAATTAGGGGTTTTTATGCATAAATTACTGACGAACCATCTTTATTATTTTAGGTCAGGGGTCAATTTTGACCACAAAAATTTAATTTTGACTTTTTTTTTTAAATATTTTTTTTTCTAATATTATTTTTTTTGCCGCCGATTTATGGCGTTGACTTTTTATTTATTTATTTCCTAAAATTTTTATCCATTTTTTTATGCCCGTCGTTGAAAGTTGACCGTAATTGTACTGTCATTAACAGTAATTATACTTTCGTTGACAATACATTTCGCAATTGTACTGTCGTTGACAGTACAATTGCTGTCAACCACATCAATATTATTATTATTTTTTTGTTTTTTTTGTTAGATTTGTTGACAAGTGAACATAATTATATTACTGTCGTTGACGGTAAGATTACTGTAAACACAATAATATTACCGCCAACCACATCAATACTATTTCTTTTCCTTTTTGTTTTGTTTGATTAGTTGACCGATTAATGTAATAATATTATTTTCTACTATTGTAAGATTACTGTAAACACAATAATATTATTGTGGTTGATGGTAATATTACTGTGGATGACATTAATATTACTGTGGATGACAGTAATATTACTTTCAACCACATCAATATTAATTCTTTTGGCTTTTTATTATGTTTGTCTTTGTTCAACAATCAATATATTAATATTACTCTAAACACAATAATAGTGATTTTTGTTGTGTTAGTATTACTGTACAAGAGAGTAATATTACAATATTACTGTGTTAAATTGTAATATAATTAATATAACTGTCAACCACAACAATATTACTGTTAAAACGGGCAAAAAGATGTTAAAGGAAAAAAAATTCAAAATTCAAAAAAACAAAAGTCCACGCGCTGGAGACCGCGTTGACCGCCGGTCAGCGGCAGCAGAAAGAAGGAAAAGAAAAAAGGAAAAAAAGGAAAAAACGGTCAACGTCGGAAACCGGCGGAAAAAGCAGACATAAAAAATAAATAAATAAAAAGGCCAACGCCGGAGATCAGCGGTCAACGACGGCGACGGACGAAATTGTACACAAAATTGTGTTTTGGTCAAAATTGAATAATTGGTGAAATTTGGGGTCAAATTGAGGTCAATTGAATTAAAGGGTGATGTTGGAGCATATTAAAATGTGATGAGGTATTTTAATCTTACACACCTCTGGACAATGTCTGAATTTTTTTGTAATTTTTTTTTTGTCTGGGGACCCGTTTATGAATAAGTATCACATGATAAGCTTATTTGTAATGGACCCGACAAATTAATCGATTGGGGAGGAGTGTTACTAATTTATTAAAATAGTAACATTTAACTGCGGACTTCAGTTTCAATAGGGGACTATGGTTATTCTGAATTTTACCAATCAAACATCTTATTAACTCCTACTATTCAGTCAATTCAATCTAATCCTAGCACACAAACTAGGCCTTAGGCATATTATTGACTAAATAATTAATTAATCAGCAGAGAATTGTCAAATCCGATATAATCTAATCTAATCCAATATGGCCTCGTTTTCTTACCTATACCCGGATTACATTGGGATAAGATGAGATTGGACTAATATCCTACTGACTAACTAATTATTTAGTCAGTAATATGCCTAAGGCCTAGTTTGTTTTGTACTAAATTTGTTAAATTCTCGTATTAAAAGTGAATTGTCTAAAAAGTCTTTTAATTATCAAAATCCCTCTTGTTTGGATAATTACATCTACCACCTCAACTATGATTTTTTCTTACACCTCCACCCTTATGGTGTCAAATTCAACATAATCATGTAGATTTCGTGGAATGTGCTTTAGTTTGTACTCGTTTTGTTTAAAAATACTATTTCTGATGCACCACAATCTGACATATACAAGCCAAAAAACATATATTATGATCATCTTGCTTCAAAATGTGGATTTCGAATGAGATAAAACGGGTACAAAAATGATACTATTCCATATAATCTCGAAGATTCCACTAAATTTGATACCGCGAGGGTAGGCGTGTAAGAAGATTTATAGTTGAGGGGTAGTTGTAATTACCAAAACAGGAGGAGGGTTTTCGTAATTTGACTATACCTCAGGGGTGGTTGTAATTTACCCTTATCCAAATTAATATATTATTTTAAGGATATAATTGCCTTCTTCATATACCAAGATTCTTCTTTTTTTATAAGCTACGGGTCGCGGTTCCACCCATTTGATTTCTTCTACTGAACGGTGACGATTTTGATATCCAAAATATTGTTAACAGATCTCGTCACATGATCGGTGTGTTTCATATCAACTAAGATACTCTTTTAATGAAGATCAACGAGTTCCATGGCATTGTTAGACTGCGAAATTCAAATTTGTGTTCATATTGGATATGCACCATGTTATAAAATTCCTTAAATTCTATGCATACATCTTGTACCAAAAGGTGAAATCTCTCGCCCTCCAGGGCCCCCATCATTTGGTCCGATAAATATTTGATGGAGGAATGTAAATCATGGTAACTCAACGGCCCGTTAAGGTAGCGGACCCGAACCTGGTGATCACAAGGAACCAACCCTTATTGGAATTGAAATTCCCACACTGCGGCTGTCAGGATATGATCATGTGACCTCTATACATACATCTCAATTCGTTAAGGAGTATTTATCTACGAAAGTAACGAAATAGCAAGCTTTTGAAATGGACTGAACGGTTGCATGTCCCCAAATTTTGGGATGAACATTTATTCATAGTTCGTAAACAAGAAATTCAGTGGCTCTTGGCCAATCCACATACATCACATCTAAATTCGAAAAGTTTTTTGGGATAACAAAAAAAAAAAAATTACAGATTGGGAGGATGAGTGGACCAACTATAGCTCCTGTCTGTGTCAATGCCTAATACAAGTGACCGGAAAAAACATTAACCTTCCTATAAATACTTTAAGATATACATGGTTCAGTTACGTTGGCAGTGGGTTGTGATTTTTCCTCATGGATTGCTCGAATGTCCACTTGCGTTGCTACCGCTACTATGCAAGTAATAGTTTCTCTTGGCTTCTTTGAAGAATCCAACCAGTTCCGATACCCGATGATTTAATAACATATATCTACAAGTCCTTTTGCTCAAAATCTCGCCACGAACGACTAAAGTCCCCCTTTTAAAAGGGTATGGAACGACGATCCGAATCGGTTAAATTAAAGAACAGGAAAGTCAGGAACCCCAGATAAAATCCGACGGTGGATGAAGTCGTAATGATCAAAACATGTCCGAAACAGGAAAATATTAAGTTGAAGTTTTCTACTACATAGGTTATACCAAATTACTATAAATATTAGCAAAAAACCACTATGATGTATTTTTTAAGCACACAAACCATCATTTTCATGACATAGTTTGCTAATAAACTTGAATCATTGAAGGGTTCTGTTAAATATATATATATACGTGGAGGTGCTAAATGCAATAAACAATAAACCCCATTTTATTTAGTAATTATTATTACACGGTGATTTTTTGGAAAGTAAAGTAAACACACGGGTGCTAAATGCAATAAACCCTGTTTTATTCAAATCCTCAAGAAAACAAACACAAGCTTGTTTCTTTAAACAGGGGCAGGATAGTCTTGAACCACTTTCTTCCAACACGGCCTACTACTAATATCATCCCACCATCGGCTCACATTTTTTCGATCCTTAATCATATACTCCTTCCCCAAACTGGTCACCAAGTACTGACCGAACGGGAGATGGCTAAGATCGGCTAGTGAAAATGAGTCACCGGCCAAGTATTTGCTCTTAGATAGCCTCTCTTCGTACACGTCCAACACTTGCGCGAGTTTCTTCTCGTTTTCATCGATGCGTTTTTGGTCGGGTGTCATGCCCAATTTCGGGCCGAACAAGACTTGAATCACTAAGTCGTAGAGCGGTGGTTGGAAATTGTGGGCTTCGACGTCCAGCCATTGCTCTATAAGGCCCCTTTCCTCTATTGTCTTACCCAATAGTTCGGTTCCTTTGGATCGGTATTTCTCCGCGTAGTACCTAATGATCGCCCTCGATTCTGTTGGGATTTAAGAAGGTATTACGTGAGATTAGAAACAAAAACCATAAAATGAAGGTAAGAATGTTAAATTTAATTAAAATTTTATAATATAGACATTTCACTTTCCCATTGGGAGGAATCGCAGTTAGCTACTAATGTTACACCTAGGGGTGGAAATTGGAACTGAAATTCCGATTTCCGGAGATTCTGGCCCAAAACTTTTCAATTTTGAAATTTTATTTTTCATTCCAAATTCTATATGTTTGGATTGCGATTTTTCAGATTTTTTAATGGAATTGAATTACATAAGATTCCGTATTCCGATACGATTTTAATTTCATAAAGTATTTCTGAAAATTACACTTTTAATTATAATATAAATATTTATTATGTATTTCGTATTACAGATGAATAAAAGAATTTGAATTCCGCATATTCAGATCCGAAAACTTCGGATTTCAGAATAAATCTATTTATTCCGATATCCTAATGATTTGGCTTTTCAATTTTTATTTACGGAACGAAATTGGAATTAGTTTCCACTTTCTGAAAATAAATAAAAATTTCCCAAAAATGCTAATTTCGATCTGATCCCTCTGATTGAGTTGGACTAATCAGAGTTTCATTAATTTTGAACCGGAGATAATTTTTTTTTTAACTGTCTTCTAAATTCCATGAGCGAAATTCTAAATTGCTAAATCACAATATACAAAATAATAAATAAATAAAAATGCAATTAGAAGGCCAAGAAAATGTTTGATTACCATATAATGTGTAGTCTCCATCTTGAATAACTGGAACCGATCCAAAAGGCTGTAATATTGCAAAATAAACACAAATTAGAGAGAGAGAGAGAGAGAGAGAGAGAGAGAGAGAGAGAGAGAGAGAGAGAGAGAGAGAGAAACCTGCAACTTGAGAAACTGTGGAGATTTGTGCTCTCCTTTGAAGAGGTCAACATCAACAACCTCAAATTCAATCTCCTTTTCCAATAAACAAGCGATCACTCTCTCTAAGAAACAAGGTTGTGGTCCATAAATCAAATTTGGCTGCAAAAGGTGTTATCAAATTAGGCACGTAAACTTAATCGATGTGAGATCTCACCTTATAAGTATGGGGTCATTTGATATACACCCCTAGAATGGAAAATATATAGGGATAAGTCCACCCCTAAAATTCTTTCTTTGAGATACACCCCTGAAGAGGCAAAAGTACTATTGTGCCCTTAATTGCAATTTTCAGCAAACTGCATTCAGTATTTCACCCCTGCATTCAACATTATAGCTAACTGCACTCCACACTTTTAGACCTGCATTTATCATTTTTTCAAATTTTTTAATAAAAAATTATAAATTTTTATTTTATTATTATTTTTTCATACGCACCATTTTTTTGTATTTTTTTAATTTTTTTAATTTTTTTAATTTTTTTAATTTTTTTAATTTTTTTAATTTTTTTAATTTTTTTAATTTTTTTAATTTTTTTTAATTTTTAATTATTTAAATTTTATTTTTTAATTTTTAATTTACTGCATTGAAATTGACTACACATGACTATAGTATACCACAGTCATGTATAGTTATATGTAGCCATGTACTGTTTTTTTACCCCAAAGTTATTGTCGATCGATTATAAAAACCGTTGATTATAGATATAAAAATTCATCTATACCAATAAACAAATTCAAAATTTGATTCTTGATATTATAAAAAATTTAATGCGTAACAAAAAAGTGAAAAAAAACACAATCATCAAGATCACTATTCATCAGAAAAACCACATAGCTTGTATATAAATATATATAACTACATGGAACTATACATAACTACAGTTATCTATACGACTAAATTTGACTCAAATCGCAATTGTCAACACGAGAACCGCTTGTTTTGAACAACGAACACAATCCACTCCGCAAAAACTTAATACATAGTAGTTCAAACACCAAGACCTGTGAAAAAACTTACTACATAGTAGTTCAAACACCAAGACCTGTGAAAAAGAAAAAGAGTTAAACAAACAACGAATTTTGCTTCAAATTTAAATGTGCACACACGCACTATCACCTACTGGTATACATAGATACTCCCCACATAACTCATACATGACTACATATGACTACATGACTACATAGTTTATATATAACTATATATTACTTTTTTTATTACTACACCGTATATTACTATATATTACTACACGTGACTATATATTACTATATGTGACTACACCATATATTACTGTATGTTACTACACGTGACTATATATTACTATATGTGACTACACCATATATTACTGTATGTTACTACACATGACTATATATGACTACATGTATATGACCAAATGTGACTATATACATGTATGTGACTTTATTTGTCCCTTCAAGTACCTGACTTTGTTCTCCAGGCGACACGAGACAGCTTATATTATCAAAATCAAATTACAAACAGAGTATGCTAGTCATTATTCTTCGTATAACCAAAGGTCAAAGATCAAAGCAAGTTGAAGTGGAACACCATAGATAAAATAATAGTTGAAACACACGTAAAAGTAGTCACCTATTTCATTCTCGATAAATAAAATATCAATATCATATTACCAACAAAATATTCTCATACGAATCTACATATACTCCTAGGTATAAAAAAAAGTAAACAACAATATTAATTATACACATATTTTAAAAAACTTAGTAGATCTCATTTTTTTTTATAAAAAATTGTAGATCCAGTTAAAACAACATATCAGTTGAGTCGAAGAATCAAAGAATCAGAGTCGAGTTCAAATGACTACATGAGTGTACTACAAGTCCATATGTTACTAAATGTGACTACATATGACTGCTGTTAAATATTACTAAATGTGACTACATGTGACAACATATGACTGCAGTTATATAGTAAAATTCGTAGCAAATCTAAGTTTAAACAGAAGTTTCTACACCTAATATTTACAGGTTTAATTCACAGTCAGCAGCAAAAACGCACTGTATATCAAAACATTGTAAAACAACAACACACACAAAAAAAAAAAAAAAAGAGAAACATTGTTCAACAAAAAACTTCACAATTAAATTGGTGAAAAAATTGTACCACCCAAATCTAAAAACCATTCCACTTCCATCGTGAAGACAAGAAACACCCGAGAACACAAATAAAAGTCAAAATCATACATATCGTTGAACAAATAATTAAATACAAATAGTTTCTTTATCATTTTGCACAGATCCATCTCTTCAAAAGCTTTCTTAGTAGCTTTCTTTATCGTTGAAATATAAGACCAGCCCAACATTTAAATTCAATAAAAGATGAGCTTAACATTTTCAAAAACACATCACTGTACCCCATTGAATACGTGTAAAAATGAAAATCAAAAAATAAAAATTAAACACAACACAGTGTAAAAAAACGAAAAACTTAAAAATCAAATCATATATACGAAACACCTATGTATCATATCCGAAATCAAATCATATAAAAAAATACCTATTTCAATCTCCGCCGTGTTAAATGAGCGAAGATAGAGGACATCGCCGGAGGACCAGTGGCTGAAGAGCGATGGGGGGGCGATGGAAGAACAAAGGATGTAGCGGCGATAGAGGAGAAACGTCTGGAGCGGTGCAGCGGCGACAGAGGAGAAACGTTAGATCCCGTGGTGGATGCTCCAAGGCGGATCGACGGTGAGGAAAGGCTGAATAGAGAGAGAGAGAGAAGGAGCTAAATAAGGAGAAATAAATGAATCTGGGAGGAAGAAGAAAGCATCAAGAGAAAAATATCTAGAGAGAGAAATAGCAGAGTGTGGGTGGTTGTGATTTGAAATGACGTGGGTGGCTAGGGTTTGTACTTATTTCATATAGTGAAAGGGTAAAACTGGTATTTTAATTTATTCAGGGGGTCCCCTTAATTAAGATCAGAATTTGGGTTTTTGACTAGGAAAGAAAAATTTATTGGGCCTCCTCATATATATTTTCAAAATTAGGGGGTTATCACTAATTTCCCCTATAAGTATTTTGACAACTCACCACTTTATACTCATTCATATAGATATATATAGGGGTGTGAACGAGCCGAGCTCGAGCCGAGCTCGCCTCTTTTGGCTGGCTCGAGCTCGAGCTCGAGTTTATTTTGTCGAGCTCGAGCTCGTCGAGTTCTTCTTTTTCTGGCTCGAGCTCGAGCTCGTGTTAATTTTGTCGAGCTCGAGCTCAAGCTCGAGCTCGAGCCCAATCCCTTTTTTTTTTTTCTTTTTTTAAATATTATTTTATTATTATTTTATTATTAAAAAATATTTTAAAAAATTACAAAATAAACACAAAATTGTGATTATATATTTTTTTAATATTTGTATTTATTTCTATAATATTTTATATTATTATACATTTTTAAATAAAAATAACATATAAAAAATAAAAAAAATAAAAAAAATAAAAAAATATTAATAAATCCGGCTCGCGAGCCGGCTCGCGAGCTGATGAACAACTAAAATCGGGCTCGAGCTCGGCTCGTCAGAAAGCTCGAGCTCGCGAGCTCGAGCTCGAGCTCGAAAACCTCGAGTCCGAGTTCGAGCTTTTTACGAGCCGGTTCGTCGAGCTCACGAGCCGGCTCGGCTCGTTTACCACCCCTAGATATATATTAGAAAAACTTAGTAGAGGTTCCTAAAAAATATTCTCTATAGCTATAAAGACATGTGTATTTTGTCATTTTGCTAAAAGTTTATGTGCTCTCTCTCTAACGAAATCGCTTCGGAAAATTAACTGTAATGGCAACGTGGTGATTTGCAGGCCTTAGTTGCACAACTTAGTTATATTATTAAGCAACAACTTAGGTAAAATACAGTAAAAAAAAATCAAAAACAAATGTTTTTCACAACATATACACTACTTATGCAGACAACTTAGTTACACATTTTATACAGCTTATTTGAATAGTTTATTTATACAGTTTAGTTAAATAAGCTGCAATTTTTTTTAAATCTCTGGTAAGTACATCACATCACCATCACCATCACCATCATCAAACAATTCTTATTATTTTTTTGATTTGATTTTGATGATTATTAAGTTACAGCGGAAATGAATGAGTGTAACCAAAATCGTATGTGTGTGCATGTGTGTGGTTGCGTATGTGCGTATGTAGGCGTGTGATTATGCGTGTGCGTCTGTGTGGCTGTGTGGTTGAACTTTTCAACGATGGCAATGCCAAAGGTAGGGATGGAGCAGATTTAACGGAATGCAACGGGGTTGGACGATATCTGGCAGGGTGTGAAGAGTCTGAAGAACACATGACTTTTAACAAATTGCAAAAGTTGATATGTCCTGATTTAAAAGACAATTAGAGTTAAGGGATGTTTAGCAAATTGCATCATATATATATATATATATATATATATATATATATATATATATATATAATTTTTAGTAGATCTGTAATTGGAATTAAAAAAAATCTCAAACTCATAAAAAATGAATTATTTCAATTTATTTTGGTAATGGATTATATATATTTAGGTCCCAATCTAAATTTGTTTTCTAATTAATTAAGGTAGATTTGAAATCCCAAAAATATTGTATAATTTAAAATCTTTAGATTAATTTTCTTAAAAGATCAAAAAAATTCGACCGAAATATAAGTTACGAAGGTCAATGTGCAAATGTTTTTTTTTTCAAAGTTTCGCAGCCATTCAAAGTACTCAAAGTACACTGAATAATAAGCGCAAGGAACATTAGCTCTATTTTCTTTTGCTTTGTTAAGATTTAAACAATTATCACTATACGCGCGCAGATATGCCTCGCATTTGTTATCCTCGTAGGTCCAATTTGGTTGTTAAGATAAGATTAATCTAAATAAGATCATTGTCCGTATAAAATAATAGGTCTATTATTTGTAAGTGGTCTGTTATCAAATTTTTGAATTTATTCTCTACCCATTATTTAATAGTTTTTGAAAAATTACCAAAACTTACCATT